CAGTAAGTCAATTTATACAGTGAATCTAATATTACAGAGATTTCTTACATCATGTAATTTTAAAAAATGCCATTCTATGTAGATAATTATAGCTTGCAGCGAGGAAGAACTCAAAATTCTGTTTCACCAAATATTACAATATGAAAACACAAGTTCAGTATGTTATAGCCCTGCAATGGAAAACAACCCCATGGAGAAGACTGCTGAATTAAATTGGTAAGCCACAAAATGTCAGCAGCTGGCTGTTTGCAAATGCTCTATCCAAGGAAATAAATGAAAAGTTGAATAGAAGGGAAAGTCTGTAAGAAATTGTGCACAACCAACAGTGAGAGCTTCAGCATGAAAAGAAATTGTGAAGCAAAACCTTTCAAGGATTACAGTGGTTGAGTCCCTACTTTGGGAGCTGGATTTCTAAATTTGTTAAATTTTACCTACATCTGAGTAGAGGAGGTCAAACCACTAAGAGGTATTTCAGTCTTGTTTCTCCTTAGCTCAGGTAGGACTAAATTATTCCTGAGCAGAACTAGAACCTACTGATATCATCTCAATAGCTCAGCAAAGGTTTACAACATGGAAAACCAGAATCCAAGCTGCTGAGGGACCAGTATGATGTTCCCAGTCAGTTAAGGTTTGAGGAACCATGTCATTAGCTAATGATGGCACAGTGTTTCTCCCAGCATAGCCGTGCAACCAAATATTTCTGAGCTCCTTGTTTCTCTCAGCTGACAACCCTTATGGAAATATTGATTTTATTTCCCAGCAGTATTTAGCACATTTTCCCTCAGCTAACAGAACCACTACCCACTTTAATGATCATGTCATCACCATGTTTAATAAGTCGATAAATTGGCCTGACCTTAAAAAGAACTTAAGGGCTCAAAAGGAAGTTAGGGAAAAAAACAGAGCCAACAATACAGATAGGCTAAAGGCCACTGATAAATAAGCTGGACACCTCAGAACATTGCACACAGCAGTAATTAATGCAAAATGTGCCCTGGCGAAGTACTGCATGTCCTGTATAGTATTTTACCATACTTTCTTTTTGTTAGTCCTCTGTGGTATTTATTTTTTCAGAGAAACTGAATTATAGTGTTTTATTAACTATTTTCCACAATGATAGAAAACAACAGACATCTGGAAAACATCCCTCTGTCTATAGTAAAACGTTGCAATGTGTGTATCTTTTTGTAGACAGTTACTGATGTGTAATAACTTTACAAAGATGTTCAAATTCACTGAGATGTACCAGTACAACATTGGAATGACACTTTCAAATTTGTCCTTGGAAAGAAGTTAACTCTGTCATAATAGTTGAAACTGTAAAATGGCAAAGTCATTCTGCCATTTCTTTGTTGAAGAAACTGCCAGAGGCACATCAGTCTGAAAGAGGAAAACAATTAAACATATATGAGGTGTTGGCAAGTGTTTTTAAATCCCTTAATTCATGAGAGATTGGTAGATTACTGAGTTTGTCTCTGGACCAGGAGCTGATCAAAAATTAGTTGCATTAATTAAGGAATTTAATAAAACACTATAAGAAATGGGAAATTGTGAACAGTTTTCTAAGACTTCTGTCACCTACCTTGTGAAAATGTGGGCTCTAATTCCCACATCATGGAAATCAATTTTCACTGTCTTTCATTAGATGTTCTTGAAAAAGCTGTCTGCCTTTTACAGCTCTGCTTTTTCATTAATCACCACTAATTAAACATATTGATTCGGCCAAATATAGGGATTTCCAGCTGAAAGGCTTTACTGGACTGTAAAACACACACACACACACACACACACACACACACACACACACACACAACATTTGTTAAATTCATGAGCAACCTATGCACTCTCGTAGGATCCATTCCTTTAGAATAACTCAGGAAAGTAAGACAGAGGTGTCTGCTCACTTCTCATCAAATAAAGTCATAATTCACGTCTCAATGGCAAATTTTGTCCTTGGCTCTTTCCTAAGAGAGTTGAAACCGCTGAAGCTGAACTGAGTATCAATTTTCTTTCAGCATCTATGAGAAAAACAAAACAAAAAAATGCCCCAGATCACTGTCTCAACCTTAATCTTTAAGTTACTTCACAATCACCAACCGCATCCTGCCCTGTATGCAGGATCAAAATATACTTTGGGTATTTAAACATGTTTAGGAAATTTAAGATCATATTAGACTTGTTGTGGGTTTTGTAATGCAGTTAACCTGTGAAAAAGTGTAAAATGTTCAATTAAAAAATATGAAAATTCCTTTATCCTTTTTCACACTTAACATGTTTTTAAAGAAAGCACAAGAACAAGTTTGGGTTGTGATCAATTTTAGGATAAAATATTAGGAAAATAAGAGTATGTATCATGTTAGTTTTTAAAAATCGAAACTTGATTTTGCATGAAAAATGAGCGCATTCAAAAACAAAAGCTTGCAGAAAAATATGAAAATTATGGCTCTGATTTCCACAATAGTTTATTCTAAAAGTACTGACCTGAAAAAAACAAATTAAATAGCCAGAAAACATAAGGCTGTATGAATTTAAATAGTTTTAATAATTGATTCGAAGTTGCGTTGACACTTAGATTGCTCATCTAACATCTTTATGCAAAGACAAACAATATTTTAAAGTTAAACATTAGTTTTAATGATGGTTTATTTGGATTTATGTGGATGACAGCGAGAATGTGATTAAATCAAACAATAAATTCGGAATAATTAAAAAACTATTTATTGATTTTAATCATGTGGTTCACATTTCTGCAAAAACAACAACTAAAAACATTAAATCAATGCCCCTGCGGTGTATTTGTTAGGGTCAAAATAAAACCTGGTTGGCTTTAGTACCAGAAGCATTTGTCATGAATGACTTCATGACAAATTGTTATAATAATGCAGAGAGCCCATGCAGAGCATGCTGTAATGTATGCGGCTCAAACAGGGCCAACAACACTATCTACAACAGCGATTCTGATTGTGTGGGTGTGTTACTGTGTGTTTTTTTATATATTCAACAAGGATTTGGTTTAAGGGGAAAAAAAACATGGATTTCACAAAAGGGCCATCTTGGGCTATTTATTTTTCTCCCACAGAGGGACTGTAATGATTTCATTATCACACAGTGGTGCATGTCTGCTCGTTGAAGACTAATGCAAGTTTAATCAGCTGCTTCAGCTTGAACTCTATTGTCATCTAGTGGCTCAAAAGAGTCATAGCACATCTGATTTGAAAACATAAAATTCCTATTGATCCTTTGTTTTGTTATTTTAATTTTAAAAAATCATACCCAGGTTATAAATATCTGCATTTGGACGCAGAAATGCGTCTAATTAAAAATAACAGGGGGCAGAAAATACCATTTTAAATGAATCAGATTCACTAAACTTCTCAGAAACATAGAAACAATTAAGAAAAACTGTTAAAAAGCATTATTAAAGAAGCTCTGGTTAAATATGAACCTCTTTAGTATTCAGCGCCTCCAGATGCTGATATGTAGTATTTGTGGCAAGGTTGATTGGGAAGCAATGAGAACATCACATCAGAGAGCAATAGATTTGTTTAAGATTCTCTGGGATGATACAGCCCTTTCCTCTGGCAGAGAAACACATTTCCAATGATAGACTCGCCAGTAATCAAATAGAAAGCTCAACCAGCAGTAGCGCCAAAAATAATACTGTGCCGCAAGTTTATGAGAGGCATCGATTAGACAATCCAAAGAAAAAGAGCAAATATGTAACAGATTCATTTGTGCAGAGCTGTTCATCACACGCCTGCAATGATGGGACTGGTGCAGCATCATCCGCCTGTTCTTTGGACTTATTCCTGCCTGGATTTATGGAGGAAACGCGTCTAAACTCACCGTTTCTTCAGGAAAGAGGAAAGTGCAAGTTGTCGCATGAGAAATGAGTCCGACTTGGAGCTCCACAGGCTGGAAGTGGGAGCGCAGGTAGTTTGTGAAGTTCAAACTGAGCAGAAGTCAGGTGTGAGTGAGCGCCGCCTCCTCCCAGCTCTCTCTCCTCACCATGGGGGGATGCGCGGCCCACTTTAAACTCTGCTGACGTCACAGGGGCTGATGCCTGCTCCCCCTCCCACCCATCAGCCCCAAATCCCCATTAACACCCTCTGTCCTGTCAGGTAACACCGGCAACACTGATGAGGCAAACTGTTACAGATAAGATTGATGTACCGATTTGTTTTCATCTTATTTTGATTTTTTTTTTTTTTTTTACTTCTGAAGCTCAAAAAAGAAAAATTATGGCATGATAAAAGTAACTGATTTTTATATATTATTTCAGTTTAATATGAGAAAAAAGTCAGAATTCTGACTTTAATCTTAGAATCCTGACTTTTTTCTTAGAATTCGAACTTTAATCTCAGAATTTTTAGTTTTTTCTCAGAATTCTGAATTGTTTTTCAGAATTCTAAATTTAATCCCAGAATCATGACTTTTTTCTCAGAATTCTACGAGGGAGTATTAGTACGACGGAGTATTAGGGCCACACATGAAGAGAAAAAATATTTTTGCCATGACGAGATTAAACTCGACATGTCGACTTTAAAGTCGACATGTCATTTCAACATTTCAACTTTATTCTCAAAATGGCGAGTTTAAAGTCGACAGGGCGAGTTTAAAGTCGACACGTCGAGATTAAACTCAACATGACATTTCAACTTTATTCTCGAAATGTTGAGTTTAATGTCGACATGTCGACTTTAAAGTCGACATGTCGAGTTTAATCTCGTCATGGCAAAAATATTTTTTCTCTTCATGTGTGGCCCTAATACGTATTAGGGCCACACATGAATAGAAAAAAAAATCTCAGAGGGCCAGTAAAACTTTGGTGTAAATGACAGAATAAGGCTATTTTTTACGTGCCTGAGGGATCCCCAGTGATGCTATTTCATTAATGGAAGAGCAGAAGGTGATTAAAACAAGAGAGCTAGTTTAGTGACTAAAACAGACATGGCTACGGCTTGATGCTAATGTAACCCATGGTTATTTTGTCATCAGTGTACATGTATGTTTTTTTCAAATCGTAAGAAAAGGGGGTAATGAAGTTAAGTACTAAGATTTCCCACACACTGTGAATGCACCGCACCTGCACAGTTGCGCTGCTCACAGCTCCTCCCTGCTCAGACCAAACGCACTTTCTTCCACGGCATCTATCTGCATAGAGCAAGGTAATATTTTAAAACATTCGCCCTGGGTTAAATGCGTGAAAGGGAAGAAGAAGGAAAAAACAAGAAGAGGGGCCGGGGAAAGGGGAGTCGGTCGGATGTGGATGGTCGTTTGGTGCATGGCGCGTGTTTTGAAGCTGCTTATGGAGAAATGTCTTGGGCCGTGAGTAGTGAGGAAACAGGAAGCGATTCTTGTGGGATGGAAGAGGGAAATAGTGACAATGAAGGGTGGAAGATAGCAACATCAAAAAATGAGAAAAAGCGGAAAAAACAGAGATCAGTTCAAGGGGAATCTAGTTCAGAACAATCCAGTGATGATCATTCCATACATTCCACAGCACAACAAAATGAATTCAAAGTCATATTCAAAGTCGTTAATCAGGCAGACTCTTTTACAAATTGGAATCCGGTTCACTTAACAAAAACCATCAATAAACTTGTCGGAGAAGTCAGAGGTGCCAGAATTCTGTACAGTGGAGACCTGCTAATTAACTGCAGAGACAGCGCCCAGCAAGGCAAAGCAATACGGATCAACAAAATTGACGGGATAAGAGTTCAGTGCAGCCTAATGGAGAACAAAAAGATCAGCAGGGGAGTCATTGGAGGAGTTCCTCTAAAAATTTCTGAAAAAGAGATTCTGGAAAACATAAGCGGTGCAAAAGTAAAAGAAGTAAAACGGTTAAAAACAACAAGAAACGGAGAAAGATCTGACAGTTTATCAGTGCTAATTAAATTTGAGGAAGAGCAATTACCAAGCAAAGTATTCATCGGTTACATAAGCTATAATGTCAAAATCTACAATCCTCCACCATTGAGATGTTTCAAATGCCAAAAATTCGGTCACATTGCAGCAGTTTGTAAAGGGAAACAGAGGTGTGGAAGGTGTGCAGGAGAACACGAATATGGTAAATGTGGAAAAGAAGCTATAATAAAATGCTGTAATTGTGGTGGAGAACATACTGCTGCTTATCGCGGCTGTGAAGCAAGCAAAAGGTCTGAGGAAATTAAAAAAATGAAATTTGAGCTCGGAATAACCTACGCTGAAGCTGCAAAAAGGATCCCATCTCAGTCAGAAAAACCCAAACCTACAGTTCAACACACGGCAAATTCCAAACCTCTAGAGAATCAAAAAATTGATGAAGACTCACTTATTGTTAAAAAGACAAATTTTGTTCTTTTCATGGTAGAAGTAATTAATTGTACTGCACAGACAACAAAAAAAACGGAAAAAATCAAAATAATAGTGAAGGCTGCAGAAAAATATCTGGACATTAAAGATTTGAACTGGGAGATGGTTGGAAGTATGATGGGAGGACCGATGGGACCATCAGAAACTGGCAGAGTTAAGATGACCTAGAGTAAATTAAAAATTATATGGGCAAATGTGATTTAGTATTATGTTGGTTTAAGTTACACAGGTTTTTTTTTTTTTTTTTTTTTTTTTTTTTTTTTTTTTTTTTTTTTGGGGGGGGGGGGGGGGGGGTGAATCGTTTTCTGTTTTCTTGCTTTACTCCATATCAGTTGGTGGCGGTAATGCACAATTCACAAGTCTGCCAACCGCCATAAAACCCCATAAGAAGAAGAAGAAGAAATGCGTGAAAGGCCTTGTTAAATGTCATATTGATGATTATATTTGTATTTTAGAGGCACCAGATGTTGTAGGAGTTCAGTCCTGAAATCCGTTGAGCTGAGGAGTTTTTTGTTGTTGTTGAAGAATCCTGGTGAGTCTTGTGAAGCAAGTGTTTTTTTTGCTATGTAAAACCAGTCAGGTTATGAGCTTTTGTTAGAAACATGACTACAATTGCTGTTCATGGTTTATGAGGTGAATTGGCATGGTAAGAAGTAAGCTAACTCACCACATGTGCTCTTCTAAAAAAAAAACATGTACTTTTGTGTGAGGTTTAAGCTAGCTGCACCATGTGTGGTGTTGCTGTAGGTCATAATGTAACTTACCCTTTTGCAGGTCTCCTAGATTTATTTTGAAAGATAAGAATACTTATTACAGGCCTTAATAGCTGCATATACAGTAAAAGACAAGTTGGAACTGATAATTTTCTTTTCTTTTCTGTATTTATTTTGTTTTGTTTTCTGTACAATGTGATTAAAACAATTTAATTTAGGGTGATTACATGATTGTTTTCCAGTTGAAGTAATTGGTTTGCACAATTGTGTGCAGGCTGGTTTTATACGGTATATATATATAGTCCCTGAACCTGCTGCCACAACCTGGGGGGGTTCCATCCACGGACCGAACTAGGAACCACCGGAGATGCTGCTGCAGGATGCATTCATTGTGAAGGCCACCTGTTTCTCTGGAGGGTGGTAGGGAAAAAACAGATTCCCAATCTGCTCTGAGGATTTCTATTTTTGTTTTTTTGAGATCTCAAATCATTCATTTTTATTTTTTTGTTGTTACTTTTGGGTCAGATCTGATACCACAAACCAAACTGATGCATCAGGAATATTAAAACTTGCATTAAATACCTACCAAAGGGTGGAAGACGGAGTACTCAGCTGAAATGGACAGTATTTTTTTTAGTGCACTTGTGGACTCTGATAGAGGATGGTATTGTTGAATTGAATGAATGTAGAAGTGAACAAACTGTGTTGTGCCAATGTTCTAGTTCAGCATTTTGAAATACAGGTTTTTCAGTTATTTAATTCTAATGGTTGTCAGTGTCTTATTTTGGTTGGAATAATCTTTCACTTAGTGATTTACCTCTGCCAATCTCCTTACGAACCTAATTGAACCCAAAGTGAGTAGATTGGAGACATTTTTTTTTTTTCATTTTTTTGAAAATAACACTTGATACTTTTGAAATTTTATTTATTTTGACTACTCAGTTAAAAAGGGTGACACTAACATGAAGCTCTAGCGGAAGTTCAATTGAAGAATCTCTGACTTACCTCCATCAATCAGAAGCCGATCCGTCTCTGAAGCGAGCCAATCAGCTTCGAACTACTCCACCATGAAGCCAAATCAGCGTCCTGCTTCCACTTTATAAACTCCCTCAAATCTCACCACAGCCGCTATCCTGCAATCGCAATGTCGGATTTCGATTCAGACGACAATCCACCCACCTCCATCCCCTTCTCCGCCATCGCAGCTGAATCGTCCTCCATGACACGACTTCACCTCAACCTCATCAGAGAGTATTAATCCCAGTTGTCACCATCCCTCATCTCATCGCATTGGTCCGGCAGAAGACCACCATGTTGAGCCCGGTTCTGCCAGAGGTTTCTTCCCAAGGGGAGTTTTTCCTCTCCACTGTCGCTTCATGCTTCGTCATCATGGACAGTTCACGGTACCTGCATCACCAAGCAGGACCTCTATATCCCGAGTCTGAGTGAAGCCCCGGCGTCAGCTCCCTCAGTCTTCCAGTCCCACAATTCTGCCCGCAGATCACCTTGTCAAACAGCTCGGATTAAACCACCACCAGTTTCAGGCCCGGGGGAACATCCCTATTCACATTCATCTACTCATGCATGTTAAAGCATAATTCAGCATGAATGTTCCTGCCGAGGTCTGAGCGCCAAAGACTATACTTTCTTATCAATAAATTCTTCTAATTATCTTTTCTCTCTGTGTGAGTTTTTCAGATTGAAATGCTTGTTAGCTGTCAGAATTCAGTCAGAATTCTGAGATTAAAGTCAGAATTCTGACTTTTTTCTTATTATACTGAAATAAAATGCAAAAATCAGTTAACTTTTTTAATTTTTTCAGTGGCCCTAATCCTTTTTCATACAGCTATAATCCATCCAGAAGATTATTTTTATTCATCTGGAAGGGGGAGGGGGGGAATAGGAATTGATTTGTGATCGAGGAATGAATTATTACTGGCAGTAATAAAGGGTTTTAAATTTAATTCTAACAAGATGTACGATTTAATAGCCACAAACATGCAGAAGCTCAGTTTGGTACCTCATTTGATCAATCATGCTGCTTCTAAGTTAGTTCACGCCAGCTGGATAAACACCTTGTCATAACTCCAATATAGAAAATGCATCTTATGACAGCTTTTAAAAAGATAATTTATAGTAGCCTACAACCCATATAAATAAATGAGTTCTGCCATTCTCTGCTAAACATCACACAAACTGAATGAGCATCTTAAAATACTCCAGATAAAACATTAAGGTAGAATTCGTTACCAGAATAAATTATTACGTTTTTATAAAATGTCAAAAACTAATTTGCATAAACATTTTAATAGTTTTAATGAATAATATTTAATTATTTCCAAATGTATTTTATAGTGTTTAAAAGCACGCATAATGATTGTGATTGTGGTGTAAAATGTTGCTGAAGTAATTTTATACCTCAGCAACAAAGTGGCGTGAACAATAACATCCTAACAACCACTTTCATGACCGCCAAGCTAAAGAAGATCAACGCAGTAGCATATTTCACTTTACACTATCCTATTACTCAGGTTATATTTTTGATAGTACATTTATAACCTAATATGTTTGATTTTTAGAAAAAATGTTATTACATTTTTTATATCTAATACTCAAAAGCATTCCCTTTATTGTTACTGTAGTATTAGAAAATATCTACTTCAACAAATATAAAATATGTTTAAAAACAAATTCTGACTTAAATAAACTTTTTTAATGCGGACATAATTTATGTTCTTTTCATACATGACTAAAATATTGAAAATTACATGGTGTAAAAGTAGGGAAATTATCTGGAACATCTAAATTATTATAATTAAATTCTATGTATTTCCACAAGAATGCACATCTTAGTACCTCTCTGAAGCCAGAATGAAAGACTAAGTAATATAAAATCATTCATGTGTACTGACAGCTCTCTACATTTGACAGGTATGTTAAGGTGTAGAGACGAAGTTATCAGATGTCCGACTATGATTTTATACACGCTGTCTAACAGCAACATCATACGTTGTAATCTGGATGGGTTGACAGAATTCCTATATTGATTTTCCATGTGAATGAATACCCTCAGGAGGATTTATGCTCTTTATTAATATTTAAAGCCAGGAGGGTCTGATGAGAGATCTAATTCAGGATAAATATATATTTCAACAGAGAACTTACCTGAAAAATGTCTCCTTTTTTGGATTATTTTAAAAATGTTGCATTATTGGCCACCACATATATAACTTTAATCCATAAAAATGAATCCATAAAGACACATAACAGCCCTTTTTTACAAAAAATCCATCCATGTATCCATCTATCCATCCGTCTGTCATGATGCTTTTAAAAGATCTGACCCAAATGCAGAGAACCACTCAGAGAACCAGGGAAAAAGTTTAACAGGTTTATTAAGGTGAACTACAGGAGTAGGATTCTGGAACTCAGAGAGCTGGTAAACCAGAACTGGAAGTGAGAGGGTAAGTTCGCAGAGGTTAGTTCAGGGTCCGTAGGAAATTTGATTGAGTTCTTGAAAACAGTGAAAGCTGGACTCACGTAGGAGGAGGTTTGTTTCTAGTCCTTGAATCCAGTTGGTGTGGGTTTATCCAAAGAATCAGAATCAAGTTTATTGCCAAGTAGGTTTGCACTTACGAGGAATTTGACTTGGTGTTGTTGGTGCAGACAAAAAAAAAAAAATAACAAAATAAAATAGAATATATATAAATATATATATATATATATATACACAGAAGCTATATACAAACAGTAGACTGTGCGTTAATGTAACGCAGAAATCCTGAATGGGGGAGAGAAACATTGTCCAGTGTCACGGGCGGGTCTTGGCCTTGTTTATAAGGCCGATAGCAGATGGGAAAAAACTGTTTTTGTGACGGGAGGTTCTGGTCCTAATGGACCGCAGCCTCCTGCCAGAGGGTAGTGACTGAAATAGTTTGTGACTGGGGTGCGAGGGATCAGCCACAATCTTCCCTGCACGCCTCAGAGTCCTGGAGGCGTGCAGCTCCTGGAGAGATGGGAGGTTGCAGCCAATCACCTTCTCTGCAGACCGGATGACACGCTGCAGTCTGCTCTTGTCCTTAGCGGTGGCACCAGCGTACCAGATGGTGATGGAGGAAGTGAGGATGGACTCAATGATGGAGGAGTAGAACTGCCCCATCATTGTCCTGGGCAGGTTGAATTTCTTCAGCTGCCGCAGGAAGTACATCCTCTGCTGGGCTTTCTTGGTGAGGGAGTCGATGTTCAGCTCCCACTTTAGGTCCTGGGAGATGATAGTACCCAGGAAGCGGAAAGACTCCACAGTGTCAATGGTGGAGTCACAGAGGGTGATGGGGGTAGCTGGGGCTGCGCTCTTTCTGAAGTCCACAACCAACTCCACTGTTTTTAGAGCATTGAGCTCCAGGTTGTTCTCCCTGCACCAGGTCACCAGATGGTCAGCCTCCCACCTGTAGGCGGACTTGTCACCATCGGAGATCAGTCCGATGAGAGTGGTGTCGTCTGCGAACTTCAGGAGCTTGACAGACTGATGACTGGAGGTGCAGCTGTTGGTGTACAGGGAGAAGAGCAGGGGAGAAAGAACACAGCCCTGGGGGGAACCAGATCTGATGAGGTGTGAGTCAGAGAACTGTGTTCCCAGCTTTACGTGCTGCTTCCTGTCCGACAAAGTCTGTGATCCACCTGCAGTTGGAGTCAGGCACATTCAGCTGGGAGAGCTTCTCCTGAATGGGGAACTCGTTGGAGGGCGGACAGGTTGGTTTGGGTTGGACCCTCAGGAGCAATGGACTGCCACTTGGATTTTCGTGGGAACTTGAACGGGACATGTGGAGGTTTTTCCCCTGCTCAGTGTGAGAAGTGGAGAAGGCCAGGTGGAGAAGGCCAAACATCCAGTTTGCAGGAAGGCTTCCTGCAGAAAGGCAAAGACAAAAATCTACATTAAACTCAGTGGAACAAAGGCTCAGGTTAGACTCAGCTAATCTCAGCTTGGCTAGAGTACCCAAAACTGGCAAACACTCTAGCGTCGAGGTAGTGACAGCCCACTGCTTAAATACTCCTCTAGTAATGAACCAACGAGCCGCAGGTGTGCAGGAAGACCAACGAGGACAGGGCCCCACCTGGTGGTGGAGAAAAGGAAACACAAAAACAGCCACACAAACTGGATTCCTGACACCATCCACCCATCCATTGACCAATAAGCGAAAGATTGGATTCATCATCCTGGACAGGTCTCC